CCTCACTGATTTAGGAGACAGTCAGGAGACAGGGAAGGGACAATCAAAAAGAAAGAGAGTCAAATATTTTGGTCAAAACAAAGATTAGAAAACATAAATTGGAAATTACATGGCAAACATTTTTTAATATCCCCAATTTTTAAAGCTCCAGCAATATAAAGTATACTCTCTTAGGTTTAGATATGCAAGAAAGTACTTTTTAGACAAATTATATTTCATCCTATAATTCAATCAAAATTTTATTTAATAATTTGTTGTGGCCATTTTTATTATACTTAAAAATAAAGAATTGAATATTAATTTACTGAGCTCTGGCTCCTTATGAGGCACTATGCTACTTCAATCATTTCATTCAATCCTCACACTATTCTTTAAAGGTAAATATTATTGTCAATTTTTTATAGATTAGGAAACTGAAGCCCAGAAAAGTCAAGTAACAAATTCAGCTTATATACCCAGTAAGTGGTAGCACTGTGAATTAAACTAAACCACCTAGGGCAGGGGCATAACTCAGTGGTAGAGTGTGTGCTTAGCATGCACGAGGTCCTGGGTTCAATCCTCAGTACCTCCACTTAAAAAATAAATAAGCCTGGTTACCTACCGCTCCCACCCCAGCAAAAAATAAAAAAATGAACTGCCTAACTTCAGAACCTGAGTTCCTGACCATATACCACAAGAAAGAAATAGGTGGTGGGGGTGGTTTTGTTTTTTAAGAAAATTAAAATACAGAGAGGAGCAGGCTTGGGGTGGGTGAAATGGGTAAAGGGGATTAAGGGGTACAAATAAGCCATGGGGATGTAATGAACAGCATAAGGAACATGGTCGATAACATTGTCACAACTTTGTATGATGACAGATGGTTACTAGACTTATCTAGTGATAATTTCATAATGTATGTGAATGTCAGATCACTACGTAGTACACCTGAAACTAACATAATACTGCAGTAAACTATATTTCAGTTTAAATTTTGAAATTCTGTGCAAGAAGAATAAAAATCTACTATCAGGGAGAGAAAAAAAAAGAAAATTGAGATATACCTCTGTGGCCCATTCCTTCTTTTGGTCTAGTTGCAACAAAGTTTCTCTGATGATTCTCGTTCTAGCATCTTCCAGAGTGATTTTATACTGTTCTTTAAAAAGAAAATTAGAAGCTTTAAGATCCTATGTAAAACCATCATGTTATAAATTTTATTTTCCATGATCCTCACCTCTCCTTTCCATACATTTTTTCCTGAATTTTCAAGATACATTTTTACTGAAGCATCTAGTACTTCCAATTAGAAGAAACACTCCAATAATTTACTATTACCTTAATGTGAGTTAGTTTGAGATGATATCTCTCTCATGGATATTTGTATTTTTAAAGGATTGTCTCTCCAAAGAGAGAATTTCCAACACTTTAGTGCCTGTGCAGCCATCTCCCCTTCATTTCACACAACTTGTATTCCACAGCAAAAAGAGATTTGATTATTCACTTGAGTAGCACCCTATTCGTTTGATTCTCTCTAATTAGACTTCCAATATTCTTGGCACACATTTCCTGAGGCAGGAAGGGCAGAATGAGAGGAAGAAAGAGAGGAGGAGAGGGGCTGTGAAAATCAGTAGACCTGTTCAGAACTGGGCTTAGAGCAAGAATTCCTTCTCTAATATAATCCCAACTCAGGGCCCTCCCACGCTGGTGCAAACCCAGGTGTGGGAGCACCCAGACACCACCCACTGAAGGAAGCTTCTTTCTCAAAGTCTGCTGCAGGGTTTCTACACACACGCAGGCACACACATCCATCCCTTTACTTCCTCTTCTCAGTTTCATAGGTGGTCCAAGGATAGTTCCTCTACTTCCTCCCTCCACCTTTCTCCTTAGGCTCATAGTGCTTGTGCTGACAACCGAGGGTAATGGATGATTCAGGGGGTACCCATTTGATTCTTTCACCAAATGTCTGCCCCCCAAAGATTTTTTTTATTGAATCTGAACCATCTTTGTTTCACCTGACCTGACATTTCCTCAGCGTTCTCTTTGACTCTGCTGATGTCATTCTGTAAAGAGATAATGAGTTTAGCATGTTGTTCACTCCCTACATTCTTGTACTCCTCCCAATATTCCTTCTCACTGAGTTTCTCAAGAAATAGTTTCTCAGCATTATTTATTTGAATGCGCATATCTGTTGAAAGAAAATCAAGACACTGTGTCATTTCTATTGTCCTTGCAATCTGATTTTATAAAGTTAAGGTCTGATATTAAAATATCAACTCATAAATACTATTTTATACCTACAGTTTAGGTAAATCTATTCAAACTATTGTTTATCTATCTCTCATGATTCAAAATCTAAGTAAAATTAAACTTCCAAATATAAAGTTGATGACTGGTTTGGAGCTGTGAATGAGAGCTATAATATGCAATTAACCTGTATGCCTAGGGACCCACAAGCTTAAATTATTCCTGTGATAGCCTGATAAACATCCTATTTTGTATAATATATTATATCACACATACTTTTTATTAGTAAGTTGTCATTTTTCTGGTCATTATGTCTCTGGGCAAAGTGGTTTCAACTTACATCCATCCTCAGTCCTTGGCGATCATTTTTGTAAGTAAGTTTGATTCCATCCTCTAGAGGTCATTTGTTTGGATACCCCTTGTGTGAAATAACAGCATATGACAGTCACAATGACCTGTCTTCTCCTGCCCCCACATAGTAAGATTTCAGAGTGAAAGATAAGTTCCCCAGCTAAATATGTACACAGATGGGGCTATCTCAACCATATACACTTTCAATTTGCCCTGGTCTACTTGCTACACAGGATGTTCTACTCAATCTTTAGGCTGAGTATCATGATGCTGAATATTCTGGAAAAGGAAACGTTACAAAAAGCCAGGTTCAATGAACTTAATGGCTATTTGGCTTACTGCCACGCACCATCTTGTCTGAGAGCCCCTTGAGGGCAAGACCACATCTTATTCATCACTGTCAGTCCAGCACTTAGCACAGAGTCTGGCAATTAGCTGATGCTCAATAAATGTTTATGGAATGACTGAAGCATTCCACTCGGGCCAGAGGGGTGTTCTTCAGTCCAAAGGACCGGAAGGACTCCAGACTCGTCTTTTTCCAAAGACGTAAGTAAGATATTTTTAAATCCCTTAGTAAGCGGCAATTGTTATTGTAATTAAACAATTAATAGCACTACAGCCCAGACGATCAGCTGTCCTCTGATGTGAGCAGACTGCTGCCCTCTCAGCCCTGCGCCACGTTCAGTCTTAGGGGGCAGGTTGGTTGATGTCATTGAATGTTCTGAAAGAGAAGTGGATGTAGTGGCTGTTATTCTACCTTCCCAGAGCCCCCCTCTCCCTTCTCTTCTAGTAACACACGCCTCCTATCCCTTGTCAAATAAGTAGACCTATTACATTCTCCTCTTCTCTTGGCTGTAGGGATTGGTCCAGGGATGAGCATATGCCCCAAGCTAGGCATATGCTCAGAGTCCTTTGGTAGAAATATTTGCACTGAAACTATTGGAAAACATCTCTTTCTTGTCTCCACTTTGATGTTATAAGAATGTAAGATCAGACGTATCTATGGTCAGAGTTTGAGCCTCAGGGGGACAATGGTTTCAGTAAAAGGGGCCAGCTTTCAGGGAGAAGGCAAAGAGAAAAGCAGTTCTCTCCCTTTCCCTTTTCCCCTCAGCATCTGTGGGCTTCTTTCTGGGACCACTGTGCACGCTCAGCCCTGCTTGGCTGTTCTGTCACCCAGCTTGTCCCTGTCTTGTGTGACACACATACCGCAGCACTTACCCCAAACCACAAACAGGCACACCTCGACGAAACAGACCCGTTCCCTTCGAAGGCAGTTCAGTGAGCACATCCGAGTATTTGGTTTGGTCTCACTCCCAGCTTAAGGGACTTCTTAAAGCATCCCTTCCAAACACTAGCAGAACTCTCTTAGGAGCCCAGCCAGCAAAATACATCTACCACCTCATGATATCACTGTTGCCCACACACAGACTAGGTAGGAGGAGACTTATGGGAGCAGTTTTAGAGACCTCTAAAAATGAAGGGTGCTGATTGACATTCGGTCTTGGTAACTATTTCATTCAAAACAACAAATATCTACGAATGGAGTGCCTTCTCTGTGCCAAGTGCTTTGGTAATGGGCTCTCTGAAACACTCGGGGAAATTCAGGAAAGTCAAGTCCCTGGCTTAGCCTCTCAGTTTTTAGTACTGCTTCCTGATAGCACTCAAGTCTCTTTCTCATGTTTTCCAGCTTCCTGGCAGGGATGGCATTTATAGAGGTTCCAGCAAGTTTTAGAGACCATAGCAGCAAGTTTAGGATGAATGCATAGGGTTTTTTTTTTTAAATTCATGTGCCAAAACTGTGTGTGACTTACCCCAGGACCCTGGTGTTTCCTGAGCCTGTGACAAAAGTATGTCCTGGGTCTTTCATCCTCTGTGCCAGCATTATTTCTACCCATGTCCTACAAACTTCCTTTTTTCCAACTCGAATCCCTCTTTCTCCTTCTAAATAGGGAGCTTGGCTCCCTTAGAGATATTGGAGGGCGGAAGCTTCATGGTTATATTCACTCTACTTTTCCCAAGTCTGAACTGAGGCTGAAGCCAACTGAAGACAACAAACAAGAGAATTTCCCCTCAAAAGAACAATCCCCACTGCAAGGAGTTCAAGCGGGTATTCAACAGGCTGTTGTCTGGTGCTATGGGTCAGAGGGTTTTCTTCAGCCTTTGTTTTTGATCACTTCTCTTACTCCTCCACCTCACCTGGCTCCAGTATCTCTGCCCACTTTGTTATTTCTCTCTCCTGCCCATTTACCTACATGTGTTTGAGGTTGTGGTGACAGTGATGTCATCTGAAATATGTTCACAGCATTTGAACATATTAGGAGACAAAAGCATTAATACATTCAAGAAATAACTTGATACAGCTTTATGATAATTTTCTAAGTTCCTAAATCACCTTTCAAGTTTTGTTCCTGGTCTCTTTCAAACTTCCATTTTTCCTTCATTGCTTCTTCAACTTCCTCTCTTGTTACAACTTCTAACCCCTCTGACTTGTCTTTACTCAGTTCCTTTAGCAGGTTCTGTATGTGCCAAATTTGTTCATCCTTTAAGCGTCTGTTCTGTTATGAATATCAACAGTTGTTAACTACGTCTGCTGAAATATTTACATTGATCTTCCTCATAAGTTATACAATAATATCTCTAAAGAGCACATGGAATACGGAAGACTCAAAGTTAAACCCATCAATACAGTCATCGTTGAAGAGAAAGTTACATTTTAAAACTCGTGTCATTAATCTGCCAGTCTGTCACCCTATCATAGGATCAACGAACATTAAAGTTAGACCTTGAAGGACAATTTCCTTAATCTCCCACAAACACCACTCTTGTCTAGCAAACATCGCTCATTCAGCCAATATTTATGGAGCATCTGCTATGTGCTAGGTAGTCTTCTAGACACTAGGAATATATCAGTGAACAAAATAAACAAAAAGTCCTGCTCAAAGGAATTAACACCATCCTTTGCTTTTCTTACAAAAGACACTAATTCTCTTCTTCTGGGGTGATGGCTATTCACTATTCCAATACTCCACACTTGACATGTGGACTGTGTTCCTCTTGTGAATATCCCATCTCTGTTTCTAAGTTTCTTATTTAGTCAACTTAGAGTTTATTCTTGCCCTTGCTATCTTATGTATATGCAGAGATATTTCACTGTGTGTGAACTTGAAACATTTTCCTTGTAGTTTTCTTAGGCTCCGCTTAAGTTTTAATACTCACTTCCCTGGTGTCTCCCCTTCCATTTCTTAAACCTAATAAAATGTATATACCTAAAAAATTCGAATATTTCTTTTAAAATTACTTATTTTTCTTATAATTTAACATTCTCTTTATTATAACTTTTCAACAGTGTATTTTATTTCTGCTATTTACATCTTTTATTCTCTTGACCTACATAGGTACTCTAAGAGTATTTTTTCTTAAAACGGATTCTCTAGGCCAGTGCATCTTAAACTTTAATGTCATAGCAAGCACTTGGGGACCTTGTTAAAATGCAGGTTCTGGTTCAGTAAGTTTGGTATGAAGCCTGCAATTGTGCTTTTCTGATAAGCTCCAGGAGATGCACAGCCTGCTGACCCATGGCCCATATGTTGAGTAGCGAAGTTCTTTCAAATGATCTAAATATCTGTGATTTACTGATAGCGCTACAGCCTGCTAGAGCTCAGTTCTTTAATTTAATACTTAATGCAACAAACTTTAAGGTTGAGGGCTGAAATTTTTGATTTCTTAACATTGTTTAGCAAAAAGGCACTAGTTTAACAAACTCGTCAGATAGGATTTTATGTAACCTTAATGCTCTTTAAGTGACTGTCATTTCAGTGCATTAGAATTTTAATTTAAAACTTTGATAAACTGAATAAAAGCAATAGACAGTTAACTCTATGATGCCCAGTACTGATAAATACAGGCAAAAAGAAAGAGATTGGGACTGGATAGGCTTTGAGTGATTTAAAAAAATGGAAATAAAGATTTAAAAGATAGTCAAAATTCAGTAGTTTGACTTATCTGATCTTTTGTTTGCAACATTAAAGTATCATACTTAATTCTGTCTCAGAAGAGTTTTTAATACCAAAGGATTCATAATATGATGTATCTGAAAACTGAATCTTTTTCCTTCTAACCCACTCTTTAAAATCTTACTGGGAGTAACATAAGTAGGAATGGTAGAGTAAAGACTTCTGAAAATCCTCTTCTTCATAAAAGCAGCGAAAAAAAAATTGGCAAAATTGTTAAAATCAGCTTTTCAGAACCCCGGAAATTAAAGACTTGCAGTGACTTCCAGGGAGTGTTTATTCAAGAAAAATGGTTGAATCTCGGTAAGGACAGATAGCTTTGTGGCATTTTTAACTTGCCCTAACAACCAACAGCCCCACAATCATGGTAAAAACCAGTAACCTAGCAGCCTAGGATTGAGAGTGGGGGAGGGAAGAGAGAGGAGCAGAACCTTCCAAAGCCCAATTCCCAAGTAATAGTCATTATTTGATCCATCTGGTAACTCCCTGGAAAATCCCACTGGCAAACTTTGTTTTTATTTGACCTGACTCAGAGCTTACCCAGTGTGTGAACAGCTTTTTCCCAGATTGATATTTGTCAAAAACAGAGGCAGATGTTTGTCAAAAACAATACACAATTGTTGAACATTACAGCTCCCTGAGGTGGTAATAAAGGTTGAGGTAAACAACAAGCTGACAAAAAAACCTTTGAAAGAAAGCTGGAGATAAGATGTCCATAGGGAGCTTTGAGAGCGCTGACATATTCCTGGGAATCTAGAAGTCCACGTGCATGGACAGGGCTGTGTGCATGTTCAAGGCTGCACGTGTGCTCAGGAGAGACCTAGAAAGGCCCTAAGCTCTTGCATCTGGCTGACCTTGAGGTTCTACAGAAGCAAGAAGTGAAGGTTAAGGCGAAGTTGTAAATTGCCTGGCTGAGTGTAGAAGGCAAGCCCCGACAAGCACACAGAGCCCCTCAGCAAAGGCTGGGAGAGTTACTGGTTAGAGACATTCAAGGAAATCTCTATCTAGTCACTAGCTGACCACTAAACAAAGCAAACAGAGACGTCAGGGGGCCACACACAATAAAAAATATAGGCTTTCCAGAATTAATTCAGGTAAGTCATCAAACCACAACCACAATAATCAGCAACAAAAAGGCTGGAGAGAGGAGAGAATCTGATTTCCAGGGTTGCCACATAATATACTCAAAGTCTAGTTTTCAACAAAAAATTATAAGGCATGAAAAGAAATACGAAAGTATGACCCATGCACATTTTTATTGGGGTTATTATACAAAGTGAAAAAAGGAACTCAACAGAAACTGTCCTTGGGGAAGCCTAGACGTTGGACTTTTTAGACGAAGACTTTAAATCAGCTCTTAAATATGTTCAAAGAGTTAAAGGCAACCATGTCTAAGGAAGTAAAGGACAGTATGAGAATGATGTCTCGCCAAATAGAAAATAGCAATAAAAAGAAACCTTTTTTAATGATAAACCAGTAGTCTAGTGAGTAAATGGGTTTTCCTGAGTTCTGTGAGCCATTCTAGCAAATTAATCAAACCGAGGAGGGGGTTGTGCGAGCCTCTGATTTATAGCCAGTCGGCAAGAAGTACAAGTGACAACCTGGACTTGCAGCTGGCATCTGAAGTGGAGGAGGTCTTTGGGACTGAGCCCTTTACCTGTGGAATCTGATTCTATTTCCAGGTAGGTAGTGTCAGAATTCAGCTGAACTCTCAGACACCCTGCTGGCACCCGAGAATTGCTTGTTGGCGAGGGGAAGCCTCTGCACATACAAGTTTGGAATTGGGTCAGGAACCCTTTTTAATAGTATTAAGAAATTTGTCACATATACATAGGAGAATTATCACCAAAGAGATGGCATTTGAAGACATTTGTTAAAGAAGATGGTCCAGAGAGAGTTTAGAGTGAAAGAGAAGGGCTGAGATCAGAACCTTGGTAAATACTCCAATTAAGAGGTGGTTCTAGGAAAGAAACAATAACTGAAAAACAAGAAGAAATGGTCAGAGAAGTAGGAGGAAGTTTAAGAAAGATTGATCTCCTGGAACCCAAAGGAAAAAGTGTTTCAAGATGACAGGCTTGACTGCTGAAGGTATGAGGGGTGAAGTAAGGATTCTTTGTAGTCCCTTACTTCATCCTGGCTAATGACCTGGCTAATTGGTCATTAATAACTTTTGCTAAAGCAGTTGTAGGGGAATAAATAGTAGACGTGAAAGAATATATTGGGTGATAAGGATATGGACACAGTGAACTATGAAAAGTTTAATGGGGTAGTGGAGCAATGAATGCAAACAGAGGAAGAAAGATAGTAAGTGAGGTGATCGTCTAAACAAAACCAAACACATAGGAAGAGATGATGGGTAGGAAGGAAGACGGGCATTTCCGATTTTGACATAACTGAAGAGTAAATTATGTCTTGCTAATGAGTCATGTTTAATTTAGACCTCAAATTTTTTCCTCCCACTAGTGTTTGTGTGAATCAATGCAACAAATACTTATTGGACACCTACTCATGCTGGGCTCTTCTGGAGAAACAAAGATAAGATTCGATTCCTGCTGCCTGACGAGCCTTCAGCTGAATAATGGAGATGCATTTTTATACCACATTCCAGCTCAGACTTGGGGAATAAAAAGGAGCTAGCCAAGAGAAGAGCACTCTGGGAAGAGGAAGCAGCCTCTTTGTTGTAAAGGGACCATAATAAGAAAGAACTTGGCTTTTCCAGTATTTTAAAGAAGCAGTGGTGAGCAAAGGGTGGAGTGGCTGACTCAAGCTTGGAAAGGTGAGCAGAGATCAGAATTTGCAGGACCCTGAGGATTTTAGCAAAGATGGTGGATTATATTTTCTGTGCAATAGGAAGGCACTGCAGGGTTTTAAGCACTGAAAGGTTTACTGCATTCAAAGGGTAATTCTGGTTGCATTGTGGAAATGTACTGGTTAGATAAAGGATGGGTAAGAGGGAATGGTGGATTAAACTGTGACAATAGCAGCATAAAATAAATAGATGCATACAGATGGGCTAGAGTCTGCCTTTCCACGCTCCTCGCTGCCGGGTCCATGAGTGACCCCAAGAGCTGACTTAGGCCTATTATATTCTTGAGCTAATGCTCATGGAAATAAGAATTCTGTTTCTGGCTCCAATTTGATAGGTTTTGGGAAAGTGATTCTCTCCAGTTCTGATCTGTAATCCTTTCCACAACCATATGGAAGCCCCAAAGCTGGCCTGGGAGCTCCAGTGCTGACGACTAAGGGATGTGCATTGGCTCCGTGTTGGTAACTCACTCTGTGTGCTCTGGAATCGCATCATGTGGAAGCTGCCTCCAAGCGCCTAGGCCAGGCTTCCCTCATCCACTCTCATCCACAGACTTGAGTTTCCATCTTTAGTCCCTAATGCAAGTGACTAATCCTTGAGAATCACAACAATGTCAGGGTCATACTGACGTCACTATTAGGGTTTGTCTTGCCCAGTAAATATCTGCTGAACAAATGAACAAATCCGCGCTACGGGGAAGACAGGAATCCCCATTTTACAAGGGGGGAATTAAGGTGCCTACTAGTTTTGGCCAAAATGATATTAGCAGTAAACTGTATAGTCAGGATGCAAATTTAGGTCTCTGACCCAGATTCTGTTAAAATTTGTAGATACAAATTTAGACAAAAGGCAAATAAAACAGGTATGGAAGTTTCAGGGTCCATATAAAATAAATTTTTCAAGAGGGGACACCCTCAGTATTTCCTTATTCATGAAATGCCTTAAGGGATAAGTGGTGTGAATTATCATTTACCACTGCCCAACTTTATTTCTGTTGGTCTTCAGTCCTGATAGTCATATATAGCACCCCTTTGATACTTGTTTTATTCTGATTTATAAAAACAATACATCATCTTAAACAATAAATTAGTTAAACAACTGATATTGTACTTTTCAGATAATATTTACATATGCAACCTCTGAAAATCTGAAAGAAAACAGACACAAATTAAAAATAGAGAACCAAGATTTTATAGTCAAATAAGAAATTAAAAGATAAATATGGTTTCAGAGCTTAAAATTCTGAACATAAGATTCAAGATTCTCATGATCACAATTCAAGCTGACTTCCTTTGAGATTATAACTATTATAATAGAAACAGCAGTGTCCTCTTGCCTCGCATGTACAAAAATACACTTAAATACATTATAAATTAGTTAACTTCAAGCACTAAAGAAGATTATTTCCTAGAGTACATTTCATCGTAACTCCCAATTTTTAAAAGCATTTGTGTAAATATTTAATGACTAGATACTGGCTTTAAATTTTATACTCACTCTTTCATGATACTTTTGGTTCTTTTCTCTAAGTTTCTTTATTTGAGCCATGAATTGTTCCACTGAATTTTCCTTTATTTGACAGCTGATAACAAAGATGTGTTACAATTATTTACTTCAGGAAAAATTAATGAGATGAGACTTTAAAATTAAACTAAATTATTTGCATTGAAGGCATTAAACTATTAAAAACTCATTTAGGGATAAGAACCTTTCTTAAGTGATTTTGTGTTTCTAAGTCTATTTTACTCACTAAAATATGTATTAGAGAGATAACTTCAAGTTTTTTTAATCAATCCCCATTTGTATTTCATAGTCATAATTTTTATACTTTCTAATTATCTATTAATAATTCAGCTTAAAGAGAACCTAAGAAGAGGCATACAAAAGCATGCTTTCTAGGATTCTAAAAATGGGAAAATGATAAAACAAAGACTTTACAGGGGCAAGTGCATCTTGAAACAGTAAACTAAACAAGGCTGACCTATTAGCTTAAGTTCATAGTGTATCATCTCTTCAATAAGTAGTAAAAACTCCTTTCTTGACAAAAATACACCTTTAACACCCAACAGATATTTGTTGAGCATCTGGTAGGTATGAGAGAAAGGTGGAAAAGTACAGAAAGACTTTGATTTGATAGCTATTTGAAGTGTTAAATGTATCCCTATTACCTAATGAATCTTAAAACTTTAAATCTGACACCAATATAAAGGAACAGAAATAGCTCCATGTAAATCCCTTGCCTCAATTAAACAAAACAAAACAAAACAAAACAATAATATAGCACCTCTGTGGTATGGTAAATAGAGGAGTGGTTAAAGAATGAGAAACTGGTTTTCAGTCTTGTCCTGTCACTTCTTACTTACATGACCTCAGGCAAGCCAATTCTCTAAGCCTCAATTTCCAAGCTATAACAATACCCAGATCTATGTATTTCTGTAAGGACTAAAATAAGAAATCATATGTGAATGTTTCTAGCATGAAGTAAATGCTTAGTAAATTTCAGCTGAATTTGAATCTTACATTCTCAGCCCTTTCCTCAGAATATCATTTATATTTGTGATATTGGAAACCTAGTAGGGATAAAAATGAAGCTCCTTCTTTCCAAATGAAGAGAAAAATGCAACATAAAAACAAAATGAGCAAGTCTTTTAGTGGCAAAAAGCTCTGTGTGGACACAGTGAAACTTGGGTTTTAGACCTGGTCTCCACTAACTACCGAAGGACTCAACCATTTAGGCCTTGGTTTACACTTCTGTATGTAAGAGACTTAAAGGAGATATCTATATGGTTCCTTTTGGTTCCAAAATTCTGCAGTTTAAACTGATCAGAGTTCCTTTTCATGCATGATTCATACAACACAGATCTAATGCGCTGCTGGGAGTGGGGTAGATTCTGAGATGCCCTTTTTAAAGGTTTTGGCGGCTGCATCAGGCCCCCTTCTGGAGCATGTGGCAGCTGCAGGTGTGACTTAGCCTAGCTTCTCCTTGGAATTCACTTCTGCCTCCTCACGCCTCAGGAAGAGATGAATTTACCAAGAAGCAGATGAAGCTGAATCTCAGAACTCCACACCATCAGCCACTGTGGGAACAAATACACTGGACTCCAAAAAAGAATCTATACTTTTATCTGCCTAGGGAAAAAACATAGTATATAAATGGTTCAGTGTTATCCGTGATTCCAGGCATCCACTGGGAGTCTTGGAACGTATTCCCCAAGGATAAGAGGCTGGGGGGCTGCTATGCTCAGAGATGATCACTTTATAGGTTTAACACTGGCAGTTTCAGCTCTTCACAAACCACCACAGAGGTTCATGACCTTGTTTTCTAGACATAGATTCAAAAAAAGGCCAATTGTTCAGAAACCATTGATTACTTACTCTGTGCCTTCAGCTCTTTGCTAGGAGCTGAGACTGTATAAAAGAAATATAAGACACAGCCAGAGGCCTTGGACAGTCCTTCCTCAGGTGGTGAGGGGGGTGTCTTGCCTATTTGTCATGTGACAAAAGTCCTGTCACCTGGGAACACAGGGAATAAGTAAACTGTCACCAGAAGAGCGTGGTATAGTAAGGCCTAGGCTGTTGCAGTCCATGAGATAATTTATTCTGCTTTAACAAAGGCAAGAGGACAAAAGCATGGGATGTTCAGTTTATATCTTGCACTGGATCGTGAGAATTTTAAAATGCTTGCCTCTTATAAACCTCTGTCATAGAGGAAAAAGACTGGCCTCTGGTTGACCCAGAAGAGAGACGAGGAGTTGTAATTGGTTGTTATCACTGTGAACCGTGGGAGCAAATTAGAGACCAGACTGCAGTTCCAGAGCAGGACCTTCTGTCCACCTCTCCTAAGACAAGATGAGGGAAGTCTTCAGTTATGTTGAGAAATGAATGCGGGTAATATCTGGTTATTACTTAACGTTTTTATCTCAAGTAGGAAATAAAAGGGAACTTAGTTAAAAGTCACTTCCCATCGGTGTTTCAGTGTTCTGACTTTCACTCACTATCTTCTAAAAACAACATATGAATAGATTTGGAGTCTCTAGGGAAGGGGATGGATTTTCCCTGAATGTTGTTAAAAACAGTTCCCTTAAACAAAGACCTAGTCACCGGCACTGCAGGCTCCCCACTTTCCACCTTGTCCCCCTCCAATAAATGGCTTTCCATTCCCAAGTCCCACGTGTTCCACAGGAGTCTGCTAATCTGACCCTTGCCTGAACCACCAGCGTCTGCTCCTGCCCTCTCCCCCGAGTCTGCCTTCTCTCAGTTCCTAGATTGTGATAAGCTCTTGCTCACCTCACCTCTTTTCCATAAGCCTTTCTGTCCATCACTCTGTGTCTTCGTAACACCTGTTCCTTTCAGAGATCAGCTCAAACGTGGCTTCCTCAAACAAGCTTTTCCTGATCCCTCTGACTGTATCAAGTCCTTCAGTCATACCATTACATAGCACTCTACACTTCTGTATCACAGCACCTTATTTAGAGCTACGTAATTTTAAAACAAGATTGGACTAGGTGTTTAATGTCCACCTCCCATGCTTTGTTAGGGCAGGGACCATGTGGTCCTGTCCTCCAGTACCCAGCACTTGCCTTGTGTTTGGTAAACATTCAAAAACTTGTTCAATATGCATGGATAAATTGCATTCTTATTTGAAAAAGACTGACACGTATACATTCACTCCCTAAGTGTTACACATTAAAATACCTACTCTGTGCCCAAAGTTGAGGTTCACAAGTTCTCAAGGGGCTTGCCCTCCGTTAGTTGGGTAAAACATAAACACTGTATAGGTATCACCTCTAGTTTTGTCTCCAGCTCCTGGGACAGAGACATTAAGAAATATTCTCACAAAAATTAATTACGTCTAAATCATTTGGATGTGATCCAGGCATTTGGGGATAATGCAAATTGGAATGTCTAGAAACAAAAGGTTAAATAAAGAAATGTCCTCTTTTACTCTTCTATAAATGTACACTAACTATTCCACACTGTATTTTAAGAGGTAAGCCACCAAGCTGTGTGTATGTGTGGGAGAGTGCCAACAGTACAATAGAGGGAGGGAGGGAGCCAAAACCACAGTGGTGAGTGTTGTTTCATAGCTACTGTTTGGTCTATGTTATAGTCAAAGTTCAAAAAACTTAAAAAAAATTCCCATAGCACCAAAGTGCAATTATGCCACCCATCCACCTCCAGTCCAGCTTCCTTGACAGCTTTTGAGCGCTTCAGTTTCCACTGGAGTTATGTGAGCCTTAGAAATGGCTGCCACTTATGCATGGGGGCTTGGATTTCACAGTCTAAGCTTACTGATAGTCTAGAAGTGCCTCACTCATAGACAGTTTGACTTCTTTTGGTGGCCCATCTTGAATATCCTTTTTATTTGCTTTCGCCGTATTTTCCATTGAGTTGCTTTGCTAGTAAGAAATATACCTGTTTAAGAAAGAGACATAGGAAAAGTAAATAAATTCTGTCTTTGCTTCCTTACTTGTGTTTACTAGATAAAGCACTGCTGGGACTTAATTTAAAACTGGCTCTTCCATCAGATTGCTTCCATGTCCCCAGACCTAACGTCCACCACAATGCTGGGACACCATGAATCAGCTGGATTCCTGAGTCTGGTGTGTTCCATGCTTAGCCAAGGTACAGAATTCCCCACCCAAAACCTTCTGAGACTCGGTCCTTTGTGTTATCCATCGATGACTGTTGCTCCTATCAAGCATCTTTAAGAGCAAGGACTAAAGTTTTTCAATCATTTTATGTCTCCACAGTGTTTGGAAGAGTGCGCTGCAAACAACAGCACTTCAATAAATATCTTTTTAAAAAATTAAGACAAAACAAAAGCATAATTTTCTATGAACACCAAAAAACTAGGATCCAAAAGAATTAGGTTTGAACAGGGTTATAAAGAGCAAATAAAAGCATGTATTAAAGGGTTTTTAAATGGCTAAGAGGTTTACAAATGCAAAATAATAATGATAATTATTATGATTAACAGTAAGTGTTCATCAGCTGTTAATTGCTTTTGCAACTAATAATAAAGATTATCAAAAATAATATTTTTAAAAGGGAAAATCAGGCCCACTGTTCTTAGATTTTTTTATAGTAAGAAGAAAAATTTCATAGATTTGGTGTGGGTACTAATGCACATCTTTTGAGATCATCATCTTCCTGAACAGATTTTTATCTTTTAATTTTTATTAATCTCAAGAAAATAAGTGCCTAACCTTGAATTAATGTATTAGTAGTTGAGTGTGGTAGAAAGAACATAACGTCTGTAATTATTTGTTAAAATGGCTGGCAGCTCCATGAGAGTGGGGATGATGTAATTCTTGTGCATTACTGTATTTCCCCACCTAGCACAGTAGATGCAACCCTTGTCAAATGAAATGCTACAAAGCAACAATAATCAAAACAACGTAGTATTGGCATAAAAGCAGACATACGGATCAACGGAGCAGAATAGAGAGCCCAGAAATAAACCCACACACCTATGGTCAATTAATCTTGGCAAAAGGGAGGCAAGAACATACAATGGAGAAAAGACAGTCTCTTCAGCAAGTGGTGTTGGGAAAGCTGGACAGCTGCAGGTAAGTAAATGAAGTTAGAACACTCCCTCACACCATACATAAAAATAAACTCACAACGGCTTAAAGACTTAAATATAAGACATGACATCATAAAACTCCTAGAAGAGAACATAGGCAAAACATTCTCTGACATAAGTTGTAGCAATGTTTTCGTAGGTCAGTCTCCCAGGGCAATAGAAATAAAAGCAAAAAGAAACAAATGGGACCTAATCAAACGTAGAAGCTTTTGCACAGCAAAGGAAACTATAAACAAAATGAAAAGACAAGCTCCAGACTGGGAGAAAATATTTGTAAATGATGCAACTGACAAGGGCTTAATTTCCAAAATATACAAACAGTTCATACAACTCAAAAAGGAAAAAAACAAACAATCCAATCAAAAAATGGGAAGAAGACCTAAATAAACATTTCTCCAAAGAAGACATACAGATGGCCAATAAGCACATGAAAAGATGCTCAACATTGCTATTAGAGAAATGCAAATCAAAACTGCATTGAGATATCACCTCACACCAGTCAAAATGGCTGTCATTAAAAAGTCTACTAATATAACAAATGCTTGAGAGGATATGGAGAAAAGGAAACCCTCCTACATTGTTGGTGGGAATGTAAATTGATACAGCCACTATAGAAAACAGTATATGGTGTTTCCTTAAAAAAAAACTAGACTTGCCATATGATTCAGCAATCCCACTCTGAGGATATATTCAGAGAAAACTCTAATTCAAAAAGATACATGCACTCCAGTGTTCACAGCAGCCCTATTTACAATAGCTAAGACATGAAAGCAACCTAAGTGTCCAACAAGAAATGAATGGATAAAGAAGATGTGGTATATATACACAACAGAATACTACTCAGCCATAAAAAAGAATTAAATAATGCCATTTGCAGCAACATGGATGGACTTAGAAATTATCATATTAAGTGAACTAAGTCAGACAGAGAAAGACAAATACCATATGATATCACTTATAAGTGGAATCTAAAATATTACACAAATGAATTTATTTATGAAGCAGAAACAGACTCACAAACATAGAAAACTTATGGTTACCAAAGGGGAAAGGGGGTAGGGGAGGGGTAAATTAGGAGTTTGGGATTAGCACATACAAACTACTATATATAAAATAGATAAATAACAAGGTCCTACTGTATAGGATAGGAGAACTATATTCAATATCCTGTAATAAACCATAATGGAAAAGACTATGAAAAAGATTATGTGCATATAGATATGTATATATGTACATAGGTATGTATAAACTGAATCACTACTATATACTAGAAATTAACACAATGTTGTAAATCAACTATACTTCAGTTTAAAAAAAGACAGACAAAATCCTTTTCAAACGAGTAAGGTTACTTCATCTTTTTGAGCTTCAGTTACATCATATATAAAGTCAGAACAAAAATCTTATTCTAAAAGCTGTTGTGAGGATTAAATAAACTAATATTTAAAACACCTAGCATAGTGTCTAACGTATAGGAGGAGCTTAAGAAGTATTTTGCCAGTAAGTTATAGTTTAAGATGCTGCTGCTTTAATTTTCAGGCAACTAAAGCAGAGGATGTCTGCCTGCTGCCAAATTTATGACATGTGGAAAGACTAATCCATGTGATTCTCTACTGTCAACCTTCATCACTGATTTGCATTACTGAATGGACACTCTGCGTAGATCATTCAGATCCACAGTGGGGAAACCCTCTGAGAACACACTTCTTCCCTGTAGGCATTCTGCTTGCATGCCCAGACCTCCATCGAGGTTGTCTTTTGCGTTTGAGATTTTTTTCTAGCCAAGTGTGCTCATCTCTATATTCTAAGAAATTCAAGTATATGTGAACACAAATATACTATTATACTTTTTAACTAAAAAATCACACAAGTGACACATCAAAAAGATTTAATGCATTAAGACACGGTAATATATTAAGTGATATCTTCTGAGATATGAAAGTATTGAGAATTCCATATGCTACATACCAAAATGTTTCATTGTACCGTCACAGCTCACAGAAACTTATCAGCTAGGAAAAAAATTGCTTTCTTTTATTTTAGATGCAGAGTTGAATTTTCATATTATTTTCAATTTTAGAATTAGAGTTTTTAACTTGACTATTGCACAAAAAGATAGCATGCTGTCAAGTGATTCATTTTACAATAATAGTATTTAACAACAATTTTAAAAACATTTTATTTAAAAGCTAAAACAAATAACATTAATCTCCAATTTTCTGAGTCATATGGAAGCAATCTAGTGTTATGGTTCCCACCTGTGGTACCCATCTGGTGCTGGAAGAAAAATGACCTCATCTTCAGTTACCTGGCTCTTATGTTTTCAATTCTCTAACCAATGTGTAATTAGTTACCTAATGGCAGCTCACGGCAAAGGATTTTAATAAAATATGAGTGACAAAGTGGATCCATTAAACACAAATGATTTATGCATAAACTATATTAAGATTCTTTGTTTCACACACTTAACAGAAAATGAGTAAGCCAGCTGGATTGCCTGCTTAATAGTTGCCTTTTTGCAGTGAGCTAATGACATTACCTCCAAAGGTACTTTTACATTAGATAATGTCCTACAAACAATGGATATTTTAATAAACGTTCACAAGGACTTACATTTCCTGACCACCAAGAGGACTTCTATCTCAGTAAAAGGTGAGAATTCTAGAAAATTTTTCACAAAGTAATTATCTTCCAGGAAGATTTCACTTAAAATAATTCCTGACAAATGGACACCTAATCTGTTTTGTCAGTAAGTGCAGATACCTACTCAGTGCTTGTCCTGTGTGTGGCAATTTACCTGGCCCTTGGTTATAAACTACAGAAGAGGTGAGGTCCCTACTTGGACTGACAGGAAGAAAGCAGCATACTCCAACAGAAGTTGAAAAAAAACCGAGCAACTTTGAAAGACTTGAGAAAACCGTGCAAGGGATGAGTGCTACAGGGACCTTCACCCACGGCATGACCTTGTGTGCCCGTCTGCTTTTCCTCTCCCAGCTCTGTTTGGGCATCAGTAACATACACCATGGAGTGAGGACAGGTGAGGAGGCTGGGTTTGAAGGCCTCAGGGATCTAGCCTTTTCAGAGACTATCCCGTGATCGTTTTCTGTCGGAAAATGCTTCCAAAAATATTCCCCAAATGCTTCTCAGTGAAAAGTAAGAAGTCTATTTGGTAAAAAGGGGCATAAAATAGCCCCTTAATGTTATCCCATAATGCTTTACTTGACTCTGCAAAATTACCCAAAAAGCATGTCCCTTCCTCTCCAGTCTCAGGATCCTGGCTCAATACCTAGAGAGCTCCTAATGGCTTTCTTCATGACTTTGCGGAGCCATGAATATCCAGAAGCCTCCTAATGGCTCCTTTTATAATTCTGTGGAAGCTGGGAGGGGTGGCAATTCTGTCCCAATACTTTTCTAGGCGTTTGAAATGGATCCTCACGTTTGTTAGCTAATGTTTTATATAAATGTAGAATAAAATGGAAGCTATTTATTTAATAACATCAGTAATGACAACAGTTCTGAATAAGATTCCATCAGGGGTTAAGAGCATGATTTAGTTAAAAGATCTCTATATGGGTGCTGGAAATCTTGAAGTCTAGTCCTGGCTTTGCCATTAACGAGCTATACAATTGTGTAAGTCTAACAAAGCAAAAATAATAATACAGTACTTCCAAAAGCCTTTGTTAAAGAGCAACCTAACTTAAAAGGCACACAGCTCACTGTCAAGGCACTCATCTTCCATAAAATATAACTCCTTAACCACTAACTAGCAACTAACTACTTCAGCAACTCACATCCTTGGGAATTCAAACACAGATGCTGGCACACAGGTGAGCACTTCCCATGGGCACAGCCTAGAGGTTCAATAAATGTCTGATTTGAATAACTGACTGACAAATGATGCATGTTCACTTTCTTTCCCAAGGCTCTATTTATTTGTTCACAGTGTTTTATATACCTTGAGTTTGGAAAGTAAAATAACTTGTAAATTCAAATTCCCACTTCTACGAGAACACACAATTTAATACAATTTAAAATGTCTTAGAAATGCTCCCAAGCATATGTTTAAAAAAAACCCAAAACACCCTGAATGCATTTAAAGCCTCTTAGTAGTGATAATGTCACCTAAAAGTTCACTTTACAAAATTTCAGACCTACCTCTTTTGTATAGATTATGTATATATAGCCCTAAACAGCTTTATAGTGTAAAATACAGTTTGGAGATATGTTAAATAACCATATATACAAATCAAGGTATGTTAAAAATATCTGGATGAAGGACATTTTCAGCTTTCACTTGCACAACTGATGATGTACATGACGTGAGCATGTATTTTCTTCACTAATGCAAATCGTTTGGTCAGTGGCACATTTTTGAACAGCAGTTCTCAAATTATATTGGATTTGTAGCTTAACAATGGATTTGTCTTCTGATCCAGAGTTGCTAATAACAAATCTTTTGAAATGCAGTATATCATACTAACATTTTTTAGCAACCAGGATTACATTTTTGTTCCAGCTCCTGTTGTCTTTCAATTTTATAAACGTCAAAAAAGAAAAGAAACATAACCATAAAGAGAATATTGTGAGGCCAATGGAAGTAATGGCATTACTTTTACACTCTGATTGTAGAGAAGAACAGAAAATCTCTCCTTCACAGAGCAGTGGTGAATAAAGAGGATCAAACAGGGCTAGGTCTTGGGAGTGGCAGAAAGGAAATCCATGAGCAATTACTACAGACACTGATAAATACCCAGTCTTATTATTGTCCTTCTTCGCCTTCACTGAAATCTCATTTTTTTCTCAGATGGAACATACTTGCCCACCTCCCAACCACTTCCACAACTCTCTCTGCCCAGCAGAGAATTATGGGGTAAGAAGGGGAGTGAGGAAACAAATAAACTATTATAGAATCTAACACATTAATAAAAGAAAGAAACCAAGGGTCCTGTTTAGAATGAGGTTGCCAGCAGCCAGGGCAAAAAGCCAAAACCAGTCTATGTATTGGGTGCGTGAGGGTGAAAGGCTATCAACACCACACTGAGCACTTAAGCACCTGCAGTGGGAAAGCCTCTGTGCTGGTACTGAGAAGGATGCAAGGATATGTGAGGTCCTCGATCTCAAGGCATTCACCAGACTGGGAATTCAGTGAGAAGAGCACTAAGCAGACTTGAGTCCAGACCTAGCTCCCCCACTAGTGAGTTTTCTAACCTCATACAGGCCTCTAAACCTCTCCGACCCTTAGTTTCCCTTTCATCTTTCCCATCTCCTGTCGGGATTATTAATGAGGCTCAACGCTTTGGGAAAATTGTTAAGTGATAAAGCCCCATTCAAATGGAAGGCATTATCAGTCTACTGAGCATCTACTGTGTCCTAGACACTGTGAGGGCACCACGAAGGTTACAAACCTCAATCAAAATCAGACCCTGTGCTCCAGGAGCTGAAGATCTAGAAAGGCAAATAAGCAAAGTATCCAGAGCTTCTACTGCAAGGCAGAGAGAGAGGTGGGTTCATACGCTGATCGATGAAAAGTTCTTCCTCCCAGTGTGTCTCCTGGGTGAAAAGGAGGGTTTGGCCTATGAGAACCCCTGCCAGCGGCTCCTAACTGCCCAGAACTTCGCCGGGTGTCGGACACCAGAAGAGTGGGACCCCAAGTCCATTTTGTGGCGGAGCTAGACTCAGGGCCTGAGAAGGGGCGGCTAGGGGGGTGGGGGGCGGAGATGCTCGCAAAGCTGTTAAGTGTCTGACTACAAGGCGTGCGGGGCCGAGCAAGGAGGCCAAGCCCTCTCCTGACCTCCCCTCGACGGCTTCCAGGTGAGGATACACAGCAGTGGGCCGGGAAGTAGAACTCGCGTCAGGCCAGCGGATCAGGACGACTCACTCTGCGGGCGCCGCCGCGCCCTCCGTTTCCAAGGTGACCGGCGCGCTAGGGCCTCCGCTCCCAGGACCCAACGGTGCGGCGAGCGACGGGCCGGGCGCGCCACCTCGTGGCAGTGGGGGGAACGGTCAGGCCGGGCGCCCGCGCCGCCGCCCACGCAGCCGCCGTCCGGGCCTCCCGCCCTCTCCGGCGCGGGGTTTCCCCACCACTCCCCCGCCCGGTTCCGCGAGACGCCCTCGCCCACCTTTCCCCCGCTAGTGGCAAACCGGGAAGTGGTGAGTTCTGTGGAGACGGGACGTCCGTTCTCTGGGCTGTGACCATAAGCTGGTCACTGTTGTCTCTGCTTCTGTTTCTTTCACTGGTAAAGTAAGACGTTAGGAGCGGTCAGTGGCTTCACACAACCCGCAGGACGGGAAAGGGGTGTGTGCGCGTGACGGGGGCTCTGCCCGCCTCCGCCCCGCTGCCCCTTCGTCCACGGCAGCTTTTCTTCTGTCTTGCTTTTGTTTTGGGTAAGAGTTATTTTGGATTTAACTCCAAATAGAATTGCAAACACCTGGACTAAATGGTTATAAGCTAACTTGTAGCGCTGAAAGTCCTTAATCCTGCCTGCTTCCTTTCTGGTTTCACTTGTTTTCTTCCTGAACATCAAGAAAACCAGTATAGATTTTGTCTTTTCTTCTTGCCACTTTTGGAGCTCTCTCCTAGTTCAAGAAGAAATATCACCCACCTACAGCCTGTAAATTTCCCTTTTCCTCACCTGCGTCCTTTCTCATTCTTGCCTCAAGACAGTTTCTTACGTCCTGAGAGCACTTACTTCCATAGTACATCTGAATCAATCAATCTTCCTATTGTCCCGGGAAGACAAAAGTGAGGCGCTCTCTTGGTCCTCTGTTATCTTCAATAAGTCACCAGTTTGGCCTTCTTGAATTGGATTTTTTTAAAAACACATTATAATATATTTTATGAGTAATGCTATTACATTAATAGCATATTAAGAACTTAAGGAACGGAACTGAAGCAGTGAATAAAAATACTAAGTGCCTTCGCTTAAGATAGTTTTTCTCATTAATAAGTCATCCAAAACCTAGCCAGTTTAAGGTAATTTACGTGTTCTCACTCATTTGAACCTCCGTTTCTTCTATGAGTGTTACGATATTTGTTTAGTGCCAATTGGTGTCATCTACACATCTGATAAAGACTTTTTAGTTACTTGATCTTCCCTAGAAAAACAACAGATAGTGATATGGGATAAAATTATTGAGTAGAGTTCAGATGCTGGAGAAAGAAAAAAAAAAAGGCTACCACAAAGTTTTTTAAAGCAAGGAGATTTTTTTATTGTTAAATGAAAGAACAATTTTTTGATTCTATAGTACTTTCTATAAATCTTAGGCCAGCTTCTGTTGCTAGAGCCTGGGCTCATGGTCAAAAATGTACTTTTACCCCATCATTTATCTCCTGTGTAGTTTTTCTTATGGTTTTGCCAGTTGGTGGTCAAACAGATAAAAACCATTTGCTGAGTTTCCTCATTTGACCTTAGTTTTCTGTTAGCCTTGCCATGTTGAATGATCCAGAAATAGAGGTAGGAGAGTTTCTATGGTAGAAAAAGCCAAATATGTTGTCTGATTTTGGCAAAAACACAGAAAACTTGTTTGGTATGTACTGTTGCTAAACATTTTATACTTTTAAACCTATTTTCATTGAGAATCACTACCTCTGCAAATAGACCATAAGGCAATCAACTAAATATATTAATGTTAAATCTCAGAGATCTTTAGAGACAAGAGCTAGTGATTAACCGACTGACTTTGTAAACCAGTTTAAACTTATAGTAAATCAGAAACGTTACTGACAACAAAGCTACTTTTGAGAAATTTAGAAGCCCTGCTGTAACTTCTTATCCAAAAACTTTGTTCCTGACAAGTTTGAAATAGTTAAACTGGTATTTTGGAGAAAAAAAAAAAGAAGTAAAATCTTCTCTTGAGAGGAAAAGTTTGCACCATTTTTAAGCAGGCATGATGTCAAACTCATGGGGATTATGTTTTGACCCACCATCCACTGGCATGTTGCAATATAATAAAATGGGATTGTTTCCCACTTTATTTGTAAGGGTTGCAATTTTTTTCTTTAGGCCAGAGATACAGCTCTGCAGCCCACCCTCTTCATTTCTTCCAGCCAAATTTATCTTCAGTGACCAGAACTCTGGCAAAAAAAGAGATCACATCTCTTTTTTCCCACTTATGTCTTCTACCTAAGTAAGTTTTGAAATTATTTTTATAATCTCTTTGTTCTCTCTAGGGGAGAGGAGCTTGTGATGGTAAGCTAGAGCCAGAGTTATGTCCTAGGAGCCTGAACGGGTGATGTGGGTGGCCCTTGAGGGCTTTAGTGTGTGATGTCATGAGAACAGTTCAGCTACAGTGAACTGATATGTGCTTTAGGGCAGTTTCAAAATATGATCACACAGGATAAACATACATGTCAATAGAACATACCCAGTAGAATGGCTAAACTTGCAAAGATTGATAATACCATCTGCTGACAAGGATGTGGAGCATTTAGAACGTTCATGTATTGTTGGTGGAAGAGTAAGAAAGCACAACCATTTTGGAAAACAATTTGGTAATCTCTTATAAAGTTAAACACATACCTACTTTATGACCCATCACCTTAGATATTTATTCAAGAGAAGGGAAATGCATGTCCAAGTAGCTTTATCATAATCATCTAAATCTGGAAATAACAGATTTAGGCGTCCACCAACAAGTAACTGCATAAACAAAAGTTTATATTCATACAATAAAAACTACTCATTAATAATAAAAAAGAAATGAACTATTGATACATGCAACAGTGTGATGGATCTCAAAAGAATTTAGCTAAGTGAAAAAGCCAAGTGTGAAAAATTATAAACTGTATCGTATGGAATTCTGGAAAATCCTAAAAGCAGATCAGGGGTTGCCTAGTGCCTGGTGCTCATGAAGGGGACTAAGGGGATTGATTACAAGAGGGCAGGAGGGAACTTTTCGGGATGAAGGAAATGTTCTATAACTTGATAGTGGTCATGGTTACAAGGGTGTATGTATTTGTTCAAACTTGTCAAATTGTCTTTAAGTGGGTGCATTTTATTACATGTAAATTACATGTTAATAAAGTTAATTTTTTAAAAATAGCTACAAATTATTTGATAACTCCTCCCATCAAGAGGTGGGGTCTCTGTTTCCTCTCCTTGAATCTGCTCAAGTCCAGATTATGACTACTTCAACTAAAAGAATGTGTCAGAAATGACTCTATGTTACTTCCAAGGCTAGGTCATAAAAACTCATGCAGCTTCTTCTGGGTTTTGGGGGGATACTTGTTCTGAGGGAAGCCAGCTGCCTTGTAAAAAGTCCACTTTGAGATGACCATGGTGGAGAGGCCAAGTGTAGGCTCTGTGGTCAACCAGCTGAGTCCTGCCTTCCAGCCACACAGTGTCAGGCATGTGAGTGAAGCCACCTTGGATCCTCCCAGCAAGCCCATCCAGGGGCTGAGTGTTGCTGAGTTGAGCTCAGTTGACACCCCAAGGAGCAAGAGATCACCAATTACTAACCTACAGAATCTGAGATGTGGTCGTTGTAAGCCACTGAGTTTTGATAGTATTAGTTGTCCACTGCTGTATAACAAATTACCCACAAGTTTAGTGACTCAAGACAACAGTAATCACTTATTATCTCACAGTTTGTATGGATCAGGGATTTGGGAGCAAGTTGACGGGGCAGTTCCAATTTGGGGTATCTCATGAGGTCAGATGTTGGACAGATTCTCTGTCTGATGGAGCTTTCAGTCTAGGGGGAGGGAGAGGCAGACAAATTAACAGGCAGTTGCAGCACAGTTGGATAACCCCTGGAATAGGGGGTAAAAGCAGAGTACTAAGGGAAAACCTCACCCAGTCTTGAGGCTCAGGGAAAAATTCCTGGAGGAAGTGAGGTCTGAATTAAGTTTTGACAATGAATAGGAATTAGTCAGTTTGGAGGGCTGGTTGTGAGAGGGACTGGGACAGAGGGATGGGCCTGTACAAAGGCCTAGAGGTAAAAACGAAGATGAGGAGTTTCTTATGGAGCTGAAAGAAATTAACTGATGATTAGATAGTAGGGTCCCAGAGAGGAGAAGGGAGCAAGATGGGAGGCTGGAGACGTGAAGTGGGACCGATCCTGATCAGTGTGGAGGAGGTGGGAGAGGTCAGGGTGGGACCTGGTTCCAGGAGGAGCTCCACTGACCGCAGTTCCAGTCTTTTTTTGCCTCAGGGCCTCTCACTTAGGTCTAGTTTCTGGTCCAAGAAACATGTCTCAGGCGCTGCTTTTTGCAGGATTGCAGCGACCGGCAGAAAGAATGACCTCATCTTCCTGGCTGAGGTTATCAGCTTTGCCCAATCTCTGGAGCGTTTTATGACCCAGGTGAGATGCCCACCCCCACACCAGGAAGTCGTCTATGAAGCTCTGCCTCCAATGAACATATTAAAAGGATTAGAACATGCAGATTAATACCACCTCACATCTAGAGAACAAGGCAGCATAGGTTCTAACTCCCATCTTTTGAGAATTGTATTTGTATAATTCCCAGTTGATTTTTTTTTTATTGTGGTAGGAACACATGAGCTGTGCCCGCTTAACAAAATCTTAAGTGTACAACATAATGTTGTTAAGACACTATATTTAATAGCAGGTCTCTAAAATGTATGCATTGGCATAACTGAAACTTTATACCTGTTGAACAGCAACTGCACATTTCCCCCTCCTATGAGCTGGACTATTTCATTTTATTTTTTATTTATTTTTGTGTGTATATTGTTTATATTGTTTTTTAAATTGAAGTATAGTCAGTTTACAATGTTGTGTCACTTTCTGGTGTGCAGCATAATGTTTCAGTCATACATATGCATACATATATTCGTTTTATAGGTACTACAAGATACTGAATGTAGTTTGTGTGCTATACACAGAAGAAATTTGTTTTTTTTATCTGTTTCATATTTACTGTTAATATTTGCAAATCTCGAACTCCCAATTTACCCCTTCCCACCTCGCCCCCCCCTTCCCTGTTAACCATAAGATTGTTTACTATGGCTGTGAGTCTATTTCTGTTTTGTATTGACTATTTTAGATATCTCATATAAGTGGAATCATGTAATATTTGTCCTACTGTGATTGGCCTATTTCACTCAGCATAATGTCTTCCAGTTCATCTGTGTGGTTGCAAATGGCAGGATTTCCTTCTTCTGTTAAGGATAAATATTCCATTGTATGAACATACCATGTTTTGTTTATCCATTTATCCATCAGTGGACATTACGGTTTTTTTCATATTTTGCTTATTGTGAATAACAGTGCAGTGAACATGGGAGTGCAGGTGTCTCTTTGAG